GGCGTATGGCGACTGCCTCTGCCCTCGCAAGTATCCGCTGACGCAGGAACTTTGAATGCTTCTACGGCACTTTTTAGATGATCAAGCATTTAAGGTTCATTTAGTTCATTTTTATAACAATACGTCGGTTTAATTGAATATTAGTTGATCCCTTTCAACACAAGTAAATATGAAGTTACGCTCTTTATCCAAGAATTAAATGTTTAATCATCAATTGCATAGGTCAATTGGGCGGGCGAATATATGCTTAGGCGGTCTTACAAGACAATTTTGCCCAAAAAAGATCATTCTGTTATCCAGATTTTTCAAGCTTCCCCACAGCACTAGAAAATACTTCAAACTAAACGAATATGAGTCTTTTGTATTTAAATTTCTAGGTTAGTCTGTGGAATCTTTGGTTCACTTTATGCAGCGTCCGATTCAATGATAAATTTTAGCTGTGTTTGAATTTTTTGCATTCCACCTGTTTTAGGGCGTTCTTTATGACTGACTGGCTGTTTTTGGCGTTTTTACTGATGCTGATCATGACGATGATGACGAGGGTGCGGTAAAATAGGCCGGAACTGACTACCCCACCCTTGCTTAATCTTCCTTATTCGAATAAACTCGTGATAGTTCATCAGATTGTTTCGTTCGTTTGGCGTCATTTACTTACAGGGTTTGGGGTGGTGGCGTAAGGAGGCGGCGTTGGTGATAACTTGGAGCTCCACAGGCGCAGGACTTGTGGATAGTAAGTCAAGCACTTATTTGATAGCAGGGTCACCGGAAGCGTAAACATCAGTTAAATTCTCATTCATGAAACCAAATTAAGTACGCATACGTAAGCCGTTCAGTTGAACAGACATTTGTTTATTTTCTATTAGAACAGAGCACCACCCGCCTGTAGGCGCCTCCTTCGTCTAAACGTTTTATCGTCATGAGAAAAAAACTTGCTAAATTGCAGACACACATCGTGTCAGGGAATCCAAAGCATTGGCAGAATCGAACAGACTAACTTCCCATCGGAAGAAGTAAAGTCAAGTTTATTAAAGGAAATATAGGCAACGCCTTTGAACTCCCTATTGGTACATGGTATTTAAGAAATGCATCGGTACAGCCGAACATTTCAGAGAAGTCCTTTACATAATTGTAGGCAAGTACTCGCTTGTTTCAAGAAATGAACCCACATGTGGTGATGTCAATTAACACGAGCCAGCAGGTGTACCTGAGCAAAAAGAGCAGACAGTAAAAAAAACTCTTAAGGCATGGCTAATAATTCAAAAATGGAATGTCATTTGTGGTTGTTAGGAGAAACACACCAGCTCAATAAAATAAACTAAGTTCATACCCCAGTAGGCGTATTGTGAAGGCAAGTGTAAGGCTTAGTCTATAGGAATCCTGCGAGAATTAACCCAACGCGAAGGAAAATAATGATCCCGAGGGGCCTCTCTATATCAAAACCATCGTAAAAATTAGAGTCTCTGACAGTTCGAAGACAAATAGTTCAGCTTGCTTTATGCACTGATTGTAGCAACATTGTGCAGGTGAGAAGACGTGTCAATCACAGAGCCAGTACACTTGGTCGCCAAAACTTGGTAGTTGGAGTCAGCGTTTAGCCAACTTGCTTTATGGGAAGTGTTGAAATATTTACTTCCTCCCCAGCGGCCAGGGGTACGGTACAAGTCAGTTGAGCCTGCATATGCTGACGGTTTGAAAATCTCGGTAACGAGCACTTACCACTTTTCTATTTGCTTTCTCGGCCAGTAGTCTTTGGCGTGTCAGCTGCTGAGACATCCAAGGCGCCACCGCGCTTACTTGGGGTTGTATGACCGTATCTTTCTAGCGCATAGATCCGTGAGGCCTTTGGATCTGCACGCTCAACGGGGCTTGTCACTA